ACAGCTTCTCTTCCCTTTGGGGCATCCAGGATGCTGGTATTTCTATAACTTGACATATTCAACTTACATCTCCTTATGACATCCTCAAATATTTCATGAATTTTAGGAAGCAAGTTAAATATTTACAAGTGCAAATATTTGTAATGTTTACTGTCTGCCAACGTTTACAGGAGGTGTTGAGTAATACTGAATAATTTGAAGAAACCCTATGACCTTCTACAGGGAGAAACCTTGTCTTTTCATTCCCTGATTTGTGTGTTTTCAGGACACAGGAGCTGCTTCTGCCTGCTTCATGGGCCTGTGTCTGTGTCTCTTCTGATTTAATAACACTTCAGAAATTAACCACCTCTGCTTTCTCAGCTCTCAGTGACCTTTGCTTTCAACTCAAAAGTGACCCAAGAGAAGAACCCAGATTTAGAAAAACATCCCTTCGCCCTTCTTCCTTTGAAATTCAGCGATTGGCTCGATAGTCCTACAGGAATATTTGTGGAGAGAATGAAATCTATCTAGTAAATTATCACATATATTTGAAGGGAGAGCTCTGGATGTAAATACAGTCTGGGTTACAGAGAGATCTCTGTTTAGTTTCGTGAAGCATCCTGATTTCACTCAAAGCAAGGATGCTTCCAATGCCTGACTGAACCCTCACTGCAACCCTGGGAAGGATAAGGCCTGCAGTCCTGTTTCACAGATGAGGAGCTGGGAGGGGCCCCGGCCACTCCTCTCATCTGCTGCCCAGGCTGATTCACCATCCATGGTGGTCCCGCTCCACCCCTGCTTCCCCTGCACTTACTTCTGTAAATGCTTTCCTTACTGTAGCTAAGTTCCCCAGGGGAGCCCAGCTAGGAAGAGTTAATAGGAGAGTGACAGCCATCAGTTTTTTCGTTCCTGCACCCAGATCAGTGGGAATTCACCTGAGGGAGGAAAGAAAGTGGACTTTGAACTCAGGCCTGGAAACCATGTTGGTCCCACCCCAGACTCAGAGCTCACCTCTGGGAACCTGTGTGTCTCCTCCTAAGATGAGGATAAAGACTCTGCCCTCTGAGGCCTAATAGAAGGATTAAAAAATAATGGTAAATGATCTTAGGTGGGAGGGTATAGCTCAGTGGTAGAGCGCATGCTTAACATACATGAGGTCCCGGGTTTAATCCTCAGTCCCTCCATTAGAAAAAAAAAACTTAAATAAGCCTAATTATCTCATCCTGCAACAAAACTGATTGAAGTAAAATTGAAAAAAATCTAAAACAAATATGTAAGCGTTGTAAACTGTGTCACCAGCTTTTCGTTAGTGATGATAAGGACAATCATATTCATTGTTTATAAAATGGTCTTTTGTAGCCAAACCCTCACCTCCCGTGGTATCAGGCCCCGCCTCAAGGGCCCCACCTGAGCAGACAGTGAGCTTCACCTGCAGATCTCACGGCTTCTACCCCAGAACCATCTCCCTGAAATGGTTCAAAAACGGGAAGGAGATCGCAGCCTCCCAGACCAGCGTGGACCCGGAGGGAGACAGCGTTTCCTACAGCGTCTCCAGCACAGCCAAGGTGGTGCTGGCCCCGGGGGATGCTCGCTCCCAGGTCACCTGCGAGGTGGCCCACGTCACCCTGCAGGGGGGGCCCTCCTCTCCGTGGGACTGCCTACTTGTCTCAGGTCATCCGAGGTAGATGCCCCTCACACCAGCCCGAGCCCACACCTGCCCCCAAGCCCCACCTGCTCCTCCCCCTGCTTTTGGCTCCAGGCCTTGAATTGCCTGGAGTAGATTTCCTGACAGTCCTTCCCGACCACCACGCACCTCCATGTGCTGGTCACTCACTACTGATTTAATGGCAGCTGCCAGGTGACACCTGCCACGTACCAAGCACTGTGCTCAGCAGTTTCCTTTACTTACAACAGCATCTCCAACTACTGAGCACCTACTCTAAGCCAAGCCCCTAAGTGCCTAGGGATTTCACTTACTTGGCTGCAGTTATTATATTCCAACTGCATGCCAGTTGCTTACTGATTCCCCACATTATAACCCTAACAGGACCAACCAGTCCTTGAGCACCTACTGTGTGCCCTGCAATGTGCTTAGGATCTCATTGGTATGCAAATTGCACACTCAGTGTTTGAGCACCTGCTGCATGCCTGGCTCTGTCCTCAGGCACCCCCCCCTTGCTGGGCTGGGAGCTGCTCTCCAGTCCCTGCCCTGTGACCTCTCTGTTCCACAAGGTCAGAGCTCCTGCCCTGTGCTGTTTCAGTTCCGCCCACCGTGGAGGTCACCCAACAGCCCACGGCAGGGACCCAGGTGAACGTCACCTGCCAGGCGAAGCAGTTCTACCCCCGAGACCTCCAGCTGAGCTGGGTGGAGAACGGAAACGTGTCCCGGATAGAAATGGTGTCGACCCTCAGGAAGAACAAGGACGGGACCTTTACCCGGACGAGCTGGCTCCTGTTGAACTCGTCCGCCCACAGCGGGGAGGTGCTGTCCTGCCGGGTGGAGCACGACGGGCAGCCGGCGGTCAGCGCCAACCTCACCCTGGAGGCCTCTGCTCCCCAGAAGGACCAGAACACACATGAACACCCTGGTGAGGCTTCCATTAACCTGAAAGGGCTTTTAAAATTTTATCTTTTTAAGTTGTTAAAGTAGTCATTCTTCCTTGTTATAGAATAATCTAGAAGTCCATAAATGTAAAGTAGAATTTTGAGGTGACTTCCCCCACTCAAATCCCATACTCCAAGAGTCACCACTGGGAAGAGTTTGGTACTTTTTTCTTTTTTACATCTTTTGACATCAATATACTTGAAAGAAAGAAAGGAAGAAGGGAGATGATTCTGTCCATAATGTCCTGTCCCCTCCTCTCTTCAGAAACAGTAACTCTGTACATCCTTCCCTGTCCACTCGCCTTCCTCTTCCTTCTTTCTAACCTCTGCCTAGTTTCCCTTCCATCCTAGATGTTTCCATCCATCAGTAACATCACTCCAAGCGATGTCTCAACTACAACATGTGTGAGAAGATCTGAGGTAGATGCCCTTCACCCCCAGCCCT